GGTTTAGTCCTGGTTTAGTCCTGGTTTAGTCCTGGTTTAGTCCTGGTTTAGACCTGGTTTAGTCAAATATTTAGAACTGAGATCCCAAATGAAAATACAAAAAAAAAAAAAAAAAAAAAAAAAATGTAAATAAAAAACGTAATTTGTATAATTTATATATTTTTTGTGTTTATGGATAAAAAACTCATAAGAAAAGTTGAAAACTGAAATATTTTTATTTTGTAAAAATTGTTACATTTTTAAATAGGAATGAAGATTTGTGTTTTTCATTTGATCAAGTGACACAAACATTTACAGTCCAGTCCCTCGGTCTAGTCCCCCTGGTGTCTCCAGTCCTGGGTGGGTCTGGTCCAGGTCTCGTGGTTTGGTCCAGGTCTCGTGGTCTGGTCCGGGTCTCGTGGTCTGGTCCAGGTCTCGTGGTCTGGTCCGGGTCCTGGTCCGGGTCTAGGCGTCTCCTCGGTCTCGTGGTCTGGTAGTTCTCGTGGTCGGTCCGGGTCCTGGTCCGGGTCTAGGCGATGGCGGTGACGGGACAGTCCTCGGTCTCGTGGTCTGGTCCGGGTCTCGTGGTCTGGTCTCGGGTCTCCGTGGTCTGGTGCGGGTCTCGGGTCTAGGCGATGGCGGTGACGGGACAGTCCTCGGTCTGTGTCTGGTCCGGTGGTCTGGTCGGGTCCGTGGGTCTGGTCTCGGGTCGGGTGGGTCTCGGGTCTTCGGGTCGGACAGTCCTCGGTCTCGTCGGGTCGGGTCTCGTGGTCTGGTCCGGGTCCGGGTCTAGGCGATGGCGGTGACGGGACAGTCCTCGGTCTCGTGGTCTGGTCCGGGTCTCGTGGTCTGGTCCGGGTCTGGGTCTAGGCGATGGCGGTGACGGGACAGTCCTCGGTCTCGTGGTCTGGTCCAGTCTCGTGGTCTGGTCCGGGTCTCGTGGTCTGGTCCGGGTCTCGTGGTCTGTCCGGGTCCGGGTCCGGGTCGGGTCTAGGCGATGGCGGTGACGGGACAGTCCTCGGGCTGGTCCAGGATCAGCGTCTGGAACACGTGGTTGTAGAAGTCGGGGTGATAGAGACACGCACGAGCGCAGTCCGGACTGAAGTTCACCTCCAGGATCTGAGGAACCATCACGCGCTCTCCTGAAAGACGAGAAGAAAGACGAGAAGAAAGACGAGAAGAAAGACGAGAGAAAGACGAGAGGAAAGACGAGAGAGAGGAGACGAGAGAGAAAGAGAAAGAAGAGAGAAAGAAAGACGAAAAAGACGAAAGAAAGACAGAAGAAAGACAGGAAAGACGAAAGAAAGACGAGAAGAAAGACGACGAACGAAAGACGAAAGAAAGACGAGAAGAAAGACGAGAAGAAAGACGAGAGGAAAGACGAGAAGAAAGACTCTAGAAAGAAAGTACGAGAGGAAAGACGAGAAGACGAGGAAGACGAGAACAGACCCAAGCACCGAGCAAGAAAGCGACCACCGACGAGGCGCGAAAGACGCAGAAGCAAAGCTACGAGAGGAAACGACGAGAAGAAAGACAGGAAGAACAGACGAAGAGAGAAACAAGACGAGAAGAAAGACGAGAGGAACAGACCAGTCGCAAGACAAGACCGCGCGAGAGGAAAGCCACGGCAGAAGAAAAGACCGCGAGTAACGACAAGCACCGAGAGGAAAGACGAGAAGAAAGAACGGAGAAGCAAAAGATCGAGAAGAACAGACTACGACGAGGAAAGCGCACGAGACAGGAAAGGACGATAAGAAAAGACGACGAAGAACAGCACGAGCAGGAACAGACCGAGCCAGGAAACAGGACTGAGAGAAAGACGACAGACGCAACAGACACCGAGAGGAAACACAGACGAGAGCGACAGGATCACGACCGCGACTGGAAAGCCCACGAGAACAGCGAACAGCACTCGAGCAACGAGCGAAGCGAGACAACCGCAAGACGGACCCCCCTTCGTTATCACGCTCCCTGTCACTCGTGTCCACAGTCCTGCTGGAGCGGGCATCTGACCACGCGGCACCATCCGCAGCCAGGCCGCAGTGCCCACTATAGTCAGACCACCAACCCACCCATTCTGGTTAGTAGTACAGTGGTCGTGGGGGGGGGCAGTAGTATGGTTGGCGGATCGGGGGCCCACAGTCAGTAGTGGTGGCGGGGGGCGGCTAGGTCTAGTAGTGGTGGTGGACCGGGGCACGCTTAGTATGTGGTGGCCGCTCGCCGAGCCGGCAGTAGCTGGTGCGTCAAGTGGCGGGGCGCAGCTACGTCGGTGGTGGTGGGGCAGTATAGTTGGTGGCGGCGGGGGCAGAGTGGTGGGGTGGCCGTCGCGAGGGGCAGGCCAGTAGTACGTGTGTGGCTGCGGACCGGGCGGCAGTACGGTTAAGTGGTGTGGAAGGCGTGATCCAGCACAGTCAGTCAGCTGGCGTGGTGAGGCGGCAGTACGTAAGTCGGTGCGTGAGGGCTGGCCCTCCAGTAAGTTGTCTAGGGTGGGGCCGGGGCCCCCAGTAGTACCGTGGTGGCGGGCGCATAAGAGTGGTGGCGGGGGCAGTAGTGGTGGTGGATGAGCGGGGCCGGGTGGAGGCCAGTAGATAGACGGTGGTTGCTGTTGGGGGGCAGTAGTTGGTGGTGCACGCGGCAGTAGTACGTCGGTGCGTCGGCTCGACCCGTGGGGGCCAGTTACTGTGCGGCTCGACTGCCGGCGGCCAGCTCAGGTCGGTGGGGGGGAGGCAGTCAGTCAGTGGGGGGCCGCGGGGGGGGGTTATTGGTCCTCACCCCTGGCCCCGTCTCCACTTGAGCATGAGGTCACGGCGTCAAATGTCTCGAGACGCCGGCGTGAGGGTGGAGACCGAAACGGCGGCGGACGGACACGAGGGCCGGCGGGAGAAACAGCTCCCAGGAAACTCGTGGGCAACAACCTGCAGCTGCACGGGACAACACAACCCGCGCGCTTTAGCACCCGCGGCGTCTAAACACCCGCGAGTCTAACGACCGGCTGCTTAAGACCGGTGTCTCAAGACCGGGTTCATAGGACCGCGGTTTTAAGACCGCGCGTTTAACGCACCCGGGTTTTAAGACCCGGGTTTAGGACCAGGACTAAAGCCAGAAACACTAAACCCGAAGAATTAAACGGTACCAACCAGGACAGTAGACCCCACTGTTGGCTCTTTGGTTGTGGTCCTGGGTTCTAGTTTTCCAGATTTACATCCCTGGTTTTCAGTCCCTGTCTTACATCCCCGGTTTCCAGTCCTGCTTCCCCCAATGTCCCATGTCTTAGTCCCTGCTCCCAGTCCCCAAGTTTAGTCCCTGGCTTCCAGGTCCCCAGGTTTAGTCCCTGGTTCCAGTCCCGCGGCTCTTACGTCCCCGCTTTCAGTTCCACTTCACTCCAGTCCCGGCTTTAGTCCCTCGCTTTCAGTCCCCACTCAAGTCCGGGTTTTAGTCCCCGCTTCAGTCCCCGCTTAGTCCCCGCTTACGTCCTTCCGGTTCAGTCCCCCGTTCAGCCTTGCTCAGTCCCGGTTTAGTCCTGCTTTAGTCCCTGGTCCAGTCCCAGTCGCAGTCCCGTTCAGTCCCGGTTTAGTCCCCGCGTCTTGTCCCCGGTTCAGTCCCATGGTTCAGTCCTGGTTAGTCCTGTCCAGTCCTGGTTCAGTCCCAGTTTAGAGTCTGAATTAATCCAGGTTTAGTCCTGTTTAGTCCTGGTTTAGTCCTGGTTAGTTCCTGGTTTAGTCAGGTTTAGTCCCAGGTTTTAGTCCTGGTTTAGTCCTGGTTCAGTCCCTGGTTTTCAGTTCTGGTCAGTCCTGGTTTGAATCCAGTTTAGTCCTGGTTCAGTCCGGTTTAGTCCCTGGTCCAGTCCCGGTTTAGTCCCTGGTCCAGTCCTGGTTTAGTCCTGGTTCAGTCCCGGTTTTTACCTCCGATGTCCTTCCAGGGATATTGTGGATATTGTTTCTCAAACAGAGGAATAAATTCATCGTAGTGAATCTGGAACAAAAATATAAAAATACTATAAATAATAAAATATAAAAATAAATAGAAAAACCCGAGTCCAGGTCCGGTTTTTGAGGAGGGATCAGAAAACCTCACTGACCTGTTTGAGCTCGACTCCGGGAGCGTAGTTCATCACAGTGAAGTGCTTCTCGTAATCGTCAAAATGATCCAAAGAAAATTCTCTGGAAAAGACAAAAAAAAAAAAAAAAAACAAAAAAAACATTAAAAAAATATATAAACAAGAAATCTGGAATCAGCGCCCACAGCGTTCAGCTCCAGTCAAATGAAGCTCATGGAGGACTGCAGTTACAGTAAAATACAGAACAGTATTTACAGGATTTATTTTTAAATAGACAAAACAGGGAAAAAACAAAACAAAACAGGATCATGTGTCGCAGTGTGTGTTGTGCGTTCTGTGTTGTGTTGTGCGTTGTTGTGTCATGTGTGTTGTGTGTTTTTGTGCGTTGTGTGTGTTTTGTGCGTTGTGTGGTGTGTTGTGTGTGTTGTGTGCGTTGTGTGTGTGTGTTGTGTTGTGTGTGTTGTGCGTTGTACCTGTTGTGTGTTGTGTGTGTTGTGCGTTGTTGTTTGTGTGTTGTGTTGTGTTGTTGTGTATGTTGTGTTGTGTTGTATGTTGTGTGTGTTGTGCGTTGTACCTGTTGTGTGTTGTGTTGTGTGTGTGTGTGTATGTTGTTGTGTGTGTTGTGCGTTTACCCTGTTGCATTGTGTTGTGTGTGTGTGTTGTTGTGCGTTGTACCTGTTGTGTTGTGTTGTGTTGTGTGTTGTGTTGTTGTGTGTTGTGTGTTGTGTGTTGTTGTGTTGTGTTGTGTGTTGTGTTGTATTGTGTTGTGCGTTGTGCGGTGTGTGTGTGTGTTGTGTTGTGCGTTGTACCTGTTGTGTGTTGTGTTGTGTTGTGTATTGTGTGTGGGTGTATTGTGTGTCTGTTGTGCTGTTTGTGTGTTGTTGTGTGTGTTGTGTGTTGTTGTGTTGTACCTGTTGTGTGTTGTGTGTGTTGTGTGTTGTTGTGCGTTGTACCTGTTGCGAAGCGCAGCCAGACACGTTGTATGTGTAGAGTTTGAGCGGCTGCACCGACCGAAGCATCACATGAACCTGACGTCGAACTTCACCAGCCCCACCTCCTCCCGACGGAACAACACCGGGTCCTCCACGTACTTACACACAACCTGACGCACAAAAACACACAACCTGGAGACACACACACAACCCCACACCACACACACAAACACACACACATCAACATGAAACGTCGAACTTCACCAGCCCCACCTCCTCCCGACGGAACAACACCGGGTCCTCCACGTACTTACACACAACCTGACGCACAAAAACACACAACCTGAGACACAACACACAACCTGACGCACACAAACACACAACCTGACACACACAAACACACACACATCAACATGAACCTGACGTCGAACTTCACCAGCCCCACCTCCTCCCGACGGAACAACACCGGCTCCTCCACGTACTTACACACCAACCTGACCGCACAAAACACACAACCTGACACAACACAAAGAACACCACACACACACACCTGACACAAACACACAACACACACACACTCCGCACCACCACACACAAACCTGACACACACAAACACACACCTGAGACACAACACACAAACACACACAAACACACATCCTGACACACACAAACACACAACCTGACACACAACCACACCAACCTGACAACAACACACAACCTGGACACACAAAACACACAACCTGAGACACAACACACAACCTGACACACAAACACACAACCTGACGCACAAAAACACACAACCTGAGACACAAACACACAACCTGACCACACACACACAACCTGACACACAAAACACACACACATCAACATGAACCTGACGTCAACTTCACCGCCCACTCCTCCCGACGGAACAACACCGGTCCTCCACGACTTACACACACCTGACGCACAAAAAACACACAACCATTGAGGACACAAACACACACCCTGACAACACAAACACACAACCTTGAGACACAACAACACAAAACCTGACGCACACAAACACACAACCTGAGACACAACACACAAACCTGGACACACACAACACACCAACCTGGACGCCACACCACAAAACACACCAACCCTGACACACATCACAAACACACCAACCTGAGACACCAACACACCAAACCTGACGCACAAAAACACACAACCTGAGACCACAAACACACAACCTTGACGCCACACAAACACCACAACCTGACGGCCACACAAACACACAACCTGAGACCCACAACACACACCCTGACACCACACAAACCAAACAAAACCTGAGACACACCACACCACAACCTGACGCACCACAAACACACAACCTGAGACACAACACACAAAACCATCGACACATCGACAAACCACACAACCTCGCACGCACCACAAACACACAACCCTGACACCACAAACACACAACACACTGAGACACAACACACAACCTGACGCACAAAACACCACCACAACCTGAGAGCACAACACACAACCCTGACGCCACACAAACACACAACCTGACACACTAACCCACAACCTTGAGACACCAACACCACAACCTGACAACACAAACACACAAACCTTGAGCACACACACACACAACCTGGACCACCACACAACACACAACACCTGACCGCACAAAAACACACCTACACACAACACACAAAACCTGACACACCACAAAACACCACAACCTGAACACAAACACACAACCTCCGACACACACAAACACCACCAAAACCTGACGACACAACACACAACCCTACACACCACAAAAACACACTAACCTGACGCACCAAAAACACAACAACCTGAGACACAACATACAACCTTGACACCAACACAAATACACAACCTGACACACAAAAACACACAACTGACACACACAAACACACAACACCTGACACACCACAAACACCACAACCGACACACACAAACACACAACCTGACACACACACACACAAGCCCTGACGCCCACAAAAAACACACTAACCTTGAGACACAACCACACCAACCTGACACCACTAACAACACAACCTGAGACACAACACACAACCTTGACACACAACCCACACAATCCTGACCCGCACTAAAAACACAACCCTTAGCACACCACAACCACACAACCATTAGCCTGACACACACACAAACACACAACCTGAGAACACAAACACACAAAACCTGACACACCACAAACACAACAACCTGAGACACAAGAACACCACAATCCTGACACACACAAAACACACCAACCTGAGACCACAACACACAACCTGACACCACACCAAACACACAACTCTGTACGCCACAAAGAACCACACGAACCTGAGACACCAAAACATAACAACCTGAACACACACAAAACACACACAATCACCTAGACACACAAACAACAGCGATCAACCTGACACAGCTACAAACACACACACCTGACACACACACACCACAAGCCTGACACACACAAACACACAACCTTGACACCATCACAAACACACAACTAGACCACACAAAAAACACACAACCTGACACACTAACACACAAAGCCTGACGCACTAACCACACAAAACCTGACGCCACCACGAACACACAACCTGAACACCACTTAAACACCACAACCTGACGACGACCTAACACACAACCTGACGCAACTAACCACACAACTGGACACACTTAACACACAACCTGACCGCCACTAACACCCACCAAGCCCTGACACATCCTAACACACAACCTGAGACACGAACACACAAACCTGACACCACTAACACACAACCCCTGACCACACCAGCAAACACACACCCACCAACCCCTGAACACCACTAACACTCACCACACTGACGCACCTCCACGAACCACACCCAATCCCTGACACACCTACTCACACACACGAACCCTGACGCACTAACACACAACGCCGCACCACACTCGACACACCCACACCCTGACACACCCAACACACAACCTGCACACACAGCCTACACCACAACCTGAGGACACTTAACACACCACACCCTGACCACCCACAAACACAACAACCTGAGCGCACCACACACACACAACCTACACACAAAACCACACACAAACCCTGCTACCACCACCTAACACCACCAACCTTGAGACCCGCACCCACACACAACCCCCTGACACCACTTAACACCCACACACCTGACGCACTCAACACACCCAACCTTGACAACACTAACCCACACAACCTGACGCACTCAACAACACCACCCACTGACACACAAACACAACCCACACCTGACCACCACTCAACCACACACGACCTGCGACACACAAACCACACAACCTGAAGACCCACCATACACCACATATCCTTGCACACACCAAAACACCACAACTGAGACACTAACACACAACAACACCACCTGGCACCCACACCTACAACCACCACAACCTGACCACACTAACCACAAAACCTCTCGACCGCCACTAACACACCACACCTGACACACTACCACACCACCAACCTGCACACACCCAAACACACAACACCTGCACACACAACAACAACACCACACCTCCACACAACTAAAACACCAACCTGAGAGACGAACTACACAACCTGACACTACTAACACACCACAACCTGACGCCCACTCACCACCACAACCCTGACACCACTAGACCAGCCACACCTCGACACACACAACACAACAACCACCCTGACACACACAACAACAACCCTCGCAGACCACTTCAACACACACAACCTTGAGACACTAACGCCACACCAACCTGCCCCACACCACAACACAACACCACACACCTGACGATCACCTAACACACAACCTGACCACTACTAAACACACAACCTCGACACCCACACCACCAAACACAACCTACACCACTAACACACAACCCTGACCACCACACAAAGCACACAACCTGCACCGCACCTAATCAACCACAACCTCGAGACCAACAACACCACACACAATTTCGAAGATCGAAACCACAACAAACCTGCAACACCACACAAACACACAACACCTGACACACTAACACACAACCCCTGACGCACACCTACACACAACCTTGCGACACCACAACACCACAAACCTCGACCACACCACAAACACAACCTGACCCACACACAAACACCAACAACCTGCACACACACAACACACAACCTGACACACACACAAAACCACACACACTCTGCACACACCACAACACAACAACCCTGACCACACCAACACCACAACCCTGCACCACCACTCAACACACACACCCTGACCACACCACAAACACACCACCACCTGGACACCACAACACACAATCCCTGCACACACACTAACACAACAACCTGGACACACCACACAAACCACCACCAACCTGTACACACACTAACACACAACCCTGCGACACACACACAAACAACACACACACCCCCTGACGCACACAACAAACACACCAACCGTGAGACCCACCAACATACCAACTCGCCTCGACACACACCACAACAACACAACCTTCCGCACACCACCACAAAACACCACACACCCTCGACACACACAACACACCACAACCCTGCGCACACCACACACCCACAACCCTGACACCACACAAACCCACCCACAACCTGACACACAAACACACACCACACACACACACAACCTGACACACACACAACCTGACACACACACCTGACACACACAAACACACAACCACAACCTGACACACACAAACACACAACCTGACACACACACACAACCTGACACACAACACACACCTGACACTGACACAACACACACACACACCTGACACACACAACACACAACCTGACACACACAACACAACACACACACCTGACACACACAAACACACAACCTGACACACACACAACACAACAAAACACACAACCTGACACAACACACACACACACACAACACTGACACACAACACACAACCTGACACACACACACAACCCTGACACACACACAACCTGACACAACACAACCTGACACACACAAACACACACACAACCTGACACACAAAACACACAACCTGAGACACAACACACACCTGACACACACAACACACACAAACACACACAACCTGACACACACAAACACACACCTGAGACACACACTGAACACACAACACTGACACACACAAC